CGGCCTCTGCCCCTAGAGGCCACTAGCACCCCCAGACCCAAACCCAGTCACGATGATCAACCACGTCTCTAGACATTGCCGGAGGGCAGACCCAGGCGGGTGAAGAGCCCCTGGCCTGTGGGGAGAGCAGCAGGGATGGGGGGCGGGGGTGTGAAGCTAGGAAGTCAGGGGCAGGCTGGGATTCCTTGGATGCGCAATTTACTGCCCACAAGGTGCGCTGCTCCGGGCATCTGGGCAAGAGGCTCTCGGGGGGGGGGGGGGGGGGGCAGGGCTGCCTCCAAATTCTGTGTCTCTAGTCTGTACCTGAAAGGCATTCATTTATTATTCCCACTGCGTGGCCTTTAAGGAAAAGTCATCATCTCACCCGTGCCGTCCTCCCTCGGGCGCACAGCTCAGCATTGCCTCGCTCTTGCTTTGTGAGAGAAGATTTGCCACGTTGCTCTGCCCCCAGACTTGCATAACAGCAGAATGCTTTATGCAGCCTGCGCGACTGCACAGAACTAAGCCGGCGGGCTGCAGAGGAATAATCCATCTGCTTAGATGATATAAAAGGTCTCGATTAGTCCAGGAAAAAGGATAAATAGCACATGTGAAGGCCCTCCGATGTCATAGTGGTTATTTGCTGTGGAAGTGTCTTCCTACTACCCCATTGTAGAACCGACGAGCCGTGTCAAATGTGTGGGTCTGCATTTCCTAAGAGCTGTGTAATAAACTTAACCACATTTTATCTTTTACAGATGAATGCAGTATAGAGCATGAACTTTTCTCATCTTCTCTGGCGACATTTTTCCTTCCCATCTGTGATTCCCTCCTGCTGCTCTGTTCTTCACATCCTATGTTTCTAGGGAAATGAAACAAAGACGAACAAATTTGCTGCAACCTGTTGATAGCAAGTGGATTTTCCCCCAATTCAGAAACATCTGTTACTCTGAAGGGCTTCATGCATCTAATGAAAGGTAAAATTGAAAGGCCCTCTCTGTAGTGTGGGTTTTACAAAGAAAAATATCCAGGTACACTGAAAACGTCAGGGCTAGAATGGGAATCCTTTAGGAAAGGCGAGAAGTTGAGCAGCATGTAAAATGCTGTGCACAAAGTCCGTGCCTGGCTGCTGTTACAGGCTGTTGGATAGATCACACGGTTACTTAGGGAACTTCTTGATGTAGGATTGGCAAATTTCTATTCTAGAGAATTTTTACTTGTTCCCTCTGCTGCAGATATGGCTGGAGGTTTTCCGTCGGGTTACCTATGAAATCGTTCAGAGCTAAGTCACACAGAATTACATCAACTGTTTATCAAAGTAGCCATCCTGTATCTGCGCAGGGGGTAAAAGTTGGGTTCTTTATTTTATTATGTTTTCCACACTGGCCGTTTAAAGCTAAAAGCAAATTCTCTCTCTTGGGAGACTTAGCTTTTCCGTCTGTTATGGCTATATGATACTGGCTAGTATCAGTAGAAGGAAATACGTTTTCCGGACTCTCGAGTAGTTTTTTTTTTTTCTGTCTTAAGCCTTAATGTCCAAAGCTGAATATATCCTGCCTTCTTCGCAGTCACTAGTATATGAAATTATCTTCACATTTCTGTCATGGGAGCCAGGCTATTAACAACCACTCTCTTGAGACAAAAATCCTGTTACTCTTCAAAAAGTTGAAGTTAATCATAGATTTAGACCAACTCAGAAATTTAGTTCATGTTTCTTAAATGGGTTAATGTGTCTTTATTGTTATTAGCTGGTATTTAGTCTTAGTCATGAAATTTTCAAATTGAGAGAAGAGTGACTGACAAGTAATTAACTGGAGATCGTATGAGAATCAAACAATTTGAGAACTCGTCCTATGTAACTGCATTGAGAAGTGCATGTTTTTCAGTGATGATGTGTGTCTCTGAAAAATACATTTGCAAATGGTTCCATCATCTCTCCTGTGCTTTTTCTAGACTGCTTTCTGATGTTCCATGAAGTGCATTCTGTTACTCACCGTCTTCCCTCACTAGCACTGACACCACGCACATGGCTTGGTGGGGCGGGTTTGGCACGTTCTTCCTCAGAACCCGTTTGCAGACAGGCGGCTGTCTCTATATCTACGCCTTCATTTCCCACCGTCACCACCACAGTTAGATTAGTACGTAGATGCCATATTTTTCTGGTGGGAATAAACTTTTCTCAAAGTCTATTTTAAAATTTAAACTATCTGTATCGCCTTAAATACACTGTGCACGTGGTACTCCCCTCCTCTCAGTTTTTACGTAAGACCGTGTGAACCTGACTGGCTTTGTGTTGACTTTTTTTTTTTTTTTTTAAGATTTTATTTATTTATTTGACAAACAGAGATCACAAGTAAGCAGGGAGGCAGGCAGAGACCCAGAGGGAAACAGGCTCCCTGCCGAGCAGAGAGCCCAATGACGGGCTCAATCCCAGGACCCTGAGATTATGACCTGAGCCAAAGGCAGCGGCTTAACTGGCTGAGCCACCCAGGCGCCCCTGTATTGCCCTTTTAGATTGAAGGGAGGAAGGAACAAAGAACAGGACGTTAAAAAAAATATTGTTTCTAATTGTCAGCATTTTAACTGTTTAGGTGTGTTTGGCCCTTTGAGAACAACCTGGCATGGTTTCATTTGACCGTGCCGGCCAAGGGATTTTGGTTACTTATGAGAAGTATTGAAACTCTAATGTTAGTGTCTTACAAACAAATTTGGCATAAAGATTTTAAAAGTTACTGGCATTTATGTGTAGGTTTGATGCTTTTCCCATTTTCTTCTTACTTACGATCAAACATACAAACGCGTGAGTCCGGATTTTTGAGTAAGGCTGGCAACACCATGTTTCCGAGCACCGGCCCTTCTTAGTCTGCTTGCGGCCCCGACTGCTCTGGCGGATGGGTCAGTGGGAGCGAGCGGGCAGGAAGCAGTTCTGGAATGAGCTGCAGGAGTGCCATGAAAAGCAAACACACACACAAAGTGCTTTGGTCTCGATGACCACAGCTGCCTCCAAATGTGCAAATAATTTGGCAGTTAGTTTGAAATACGTTTTGGTGCTGCTAATAGCAGTTTCTAACTTAAAACACATGGAACTGGGACTCTTGTCTTGGCTCCAAAGCTGCATCTCAGACCCACATCCCAAGATCAGAGGGGCTCTTCTTGAGGAGACACTGTGCCCACGCCCAAAGGGGCCATTTTTCTCCAAAGATGTTTTAAGCTAGAAAGCCATGGCCTTCTCAGTAAAAGGCACCCTGAGCTGGGAGGGAAAAAAAAAATCACGTAATGAAAGACAGAATCACTACTTAAACATAAATCTGGCAGCCTTGACCTAACTATTGTTTGAAGAGTCATCAGGGAATAGTGGTGTAGGCTTGAATGCTGGCATCATAACAGATAGGACCTTTCTCATCTCTGCATCTGCAGTCTTCACATCTCAGAAATACAGTTTCTTTATAATAAACATGGAGAACCGTATTTCTCCGGTAGATAAGGGCCTGCCTAGTCCTAAGCGTGTATTCATATATAATTGATCATTATCATGAGTCACCATGTAGATCCTGGCTTAGGGATGTTTATGAGTTGTTGTTGTTTTTTTTTATATTTTATTTATTTATTTGACAGATATCACAAGTAGGCAGAGAGGCAGACAGAGAGAGAGAGAGAGAGAGAGAGAGAAGCAGGCTCTTGGCAGAGCAGAGAGCCCTATGTGGGACTCGATCCCAGGACCCTGAGATCATGACCTGAGCCGAAGGCAGCGGCTTAACCCACTGAGCCACCCAGGCGCCCCGGATGTTTATGAGTTTTAAGAGTGCTTCTGGTGTGGTTTTATAGAGGGTTTGATAAGCACAGAGTTTTTATACACCACCTGAGAAAAATTTCTCCTTATCAAATAGGAAGGAGATTCCTGAGATGGCAATAAATGATTGAGCTATTTATTCAGCATTAAATGACCAAAATCTACTTAGTGCCTGTAAGCTAAAATGGAATATTAAGTCAATAAACAGAGCACTCCTTTCACCTCTGACTGTCCCGGGGAAAAAACTAGAAATTGTTTTGAAAACTGTGGTACCTACTGTTTGGACCGGGATGCTGTTGCCAGAGCAATGGGTATTTTGCCTGAGTGGCTTCTTTTGGGTAGTTAAGACTCACTCACTGTACTACTGTACTAGTTCATCAAATATAACCGAGCACCTGCAGGCAGCCGGCACTATACTAGACGTTTGGGAAACATCAGTAAGCAAAAACAAAGAGCCCTGCTCTTTTGGAGCCCAAGACGTGAGATACTGGATCATAGGTTCTAACTGCCTTACTTGCGGAAACATAAGATTTTGTGAAACAGCCAAAAGCTACAGATAACTTAAATTGTTCTATAAAAATACCCACAATTCCAAGGAAATGGCATTTAAAACCGTCTTAAGAAGGCTAAAGATAATGTGGTTTTTAGAACCTTCTAATATGAATTTTATAGCTCTTAAAAGATACAATCATACCCTGCTTCCAAGTTTTGGCCGACCAACCTCAGGTTTATGTGTACGCTGTGCTGAGGAGTTAAACCTCTTACTTGGCCAACTGAAAAAAAGTACTACACTTAAGCATTTGTAAACATAGTGAATTTATATTGGGCATACAAATGTAGGGGTACCTCAGCGGTACCTTTGGCAGAAAGCTAGTCATCGGTTTTGCATTCTCATACCATGTGCAGTCTGTGTTTCCTGGGGCCCTCGCACCACTTCGGCGCCCTGCCGGCGGTGTGTTGGCAGCGTTCCCTGGCTTTCCGTACATGCATGAAGCGGTTCTTGTTACTGTGACTGCTTGTTGGACTCAATTCTAGTAGACTCTTTAAAAGACATGTGGAGAGGAGCACCTGGGTGGCTCCATCGATTAAGCGTCTGCCTTTGGCTTAGGTCATGATCCTGGGGTCCTGGGATCAAGCCCCGCACGGGACTGCCTGCTTGGTGGGGAGTCTGCTTCTTCCTCTCCCTCTGCCTGCCGCTCCCTCTGCTTGTGTGCGCTCTGTCTCTCTCAAATAAATCTTTAAAAACAAAACAAACAAAAAGACATGGAGAGGCAGCCAGGGGCAAGGCTGGAGCGCGTGGAGGCCTGGAGTTGGGTCCAGGCTCCAGAATAGAAATAAAATGCCCAGTCTTTGCCCCTTTGCAATAACTGACTTAATTTTCTATCCTTCCTGTCCCAAAACACACATACCTTCCCTGATCTTCTAGTAATCACATCCTTTCTTTATGTAACTATAAAGTACCCCTTCCCCCAAAAGCCCCCTTTTAAAGTCTGACCTAACACATTCGCCAGCTGCTTCCCTGTGCTGTCTGGCCTATGAGTCACGAATTTACTCATTTTACTATGAAAGGTAGGAAGTAAAATTAGAAAGATTACCCAGTCCTTAAAAACAGCCCCAGAAAAGTAATACGCTCCTGTTGTATCAAGGATAAGCATGATTTAACTTTTCTCTATTTGGTGTTACTCGTCTGTTTCCCCTGCGCTGCTGCGCCGCCTCTGTGCGCGGGTGTGCGCACGCGTGGCTCCTGGCGGCCACACGCGGCAAGGCTGAGCGCTGTAGCACTTAACGCTTGTCCAAAGTCCATAGTTTTCTGTCTGAAAAGTCCGAGTTTTCTGTCCATAGCGGGGACAGTGTGGTAGGATGTAGAGAAAGAAGAGGAGACTCGGAGTTCTGTATCACAGCCCCCTCCTGGGTCTCAGCTTCATCTGTGAGAGTGGGATTAGATGAGAGATGTCTGATGTCTCTTTCCGTCCTAAAATGTCGGTGACGCAGATGGTTCACACCTGACGACTGCAGAGCACTTTGTGACAGCTCTGGTAGTTGAAAATGGCAGCCGTGTATTCTCATACTGTCTCTACGGTAAACCACACACTACCCCTAACCCAGCAGACAGGGTTTCTGGCCTTGGGAGCGAATGCCATCCCATAGACCCAAGAACCAGGAAGGTACTGCCGTTTGCCGGCTTGTCCTGCTCAGACCCTAGTGTGGCTGCACTGGATACAGCTCCCTAGACAGAGGACAAGGCTCTGTGAAAACCACCTCTCCCCTCACTAGCAGAGGTCAGAAGCCCTCCTAGTGAAGGACATGTCTAATGACTGAATTCTACAGATACTTAAGAGTGCGTCCTAACTGCAGAACGATCGCGTTAGCTTCTAGAGTGCTGGAAACGTGCCTGTCCCTCCTCCCACCCTCAAGGATGAACTCCTTACAGGGTTGTCTTAATCATTGTGAGAACTCCCGCTGCCACCTTGCGTAGTTCCTGGCTCACAGTAGGCATTAGAAATTGATTTGAAGCAAATAGATACAGTCTGTATACTCAGCAGAGTTCCTAACCCAGTGATGTAAGAGAACCTTAGTGGTTTTAAAAAATTAATTTTTACAGGTATTTTTTTGATACATGTATTTATTATGCTGTAAAAAGCAACACTACCTGATTTCATTTAAAATAAATATTTCCCAATTTCAGAATACTTACAACTTATAGTTTTAAGATTAGATTCACTTTGGGAAGTTCTGGAAGCGAATACATTCATAGCTGTACAGTCCCCAGGAAGAATCTAAATCCAGCATCCGGTCATTCAACCCCCCAGACAGACAACAGCATCAAACAGTGGACTGCGAATCAGCTCTGCAGCTAACGGGCAGTGTGGGCCGGTAGTGGGATCCGGCACGTTACACCCCAAAATGAGATCATTAGAATTGAGACCACCAAAAACAACAGTGTAGACGGAGCTTTAAATAAACAGGACCCTAGAGGGCTCTCGTGGTACAGAAAAAGCACTGACGATCCTAAAGCCCAAACAAAAGGATCTTCGGAGCATACTGACCACAGCAGTTTCGAGCACAGTCCAGAGCACTGACGCCAAGTGTGCTTGTCACCAGCAGCCAGAGCGCGGCCCCTGGAGCCACACAACTGCGCGGGTAAATAAGGGCACATTGGGCTAAACCACAAAGATTTTACAAGGTACTTTTGACCTGAAAAATGATGAAAACTCTGTTCCCAAACAATAGCTAGAACCTCTTTTCATTAAAGCCTCAAAATTGTTGGTAACCTTTAAGCCACACAGCGGAATCGTCGTCGTGTTTCATTTTCATCCCACAAAGCAGGCGGCTGCTTAGCAGTCATTTCAGTAAAGAACATCCCACCCCGTTAACATCTGTGGGGACGATGCCGTCCCTCCGCAGCAGTCCGCCAGCACTCCCTGTCTGCACGGCGTGGCAGATGGGGGGGGACACAGTGGCCGGGCTGGATGCCCGCCCCCGCCTCCGCCTCCGCATTCCTGCAGGAGCAGCCAGGCGCGCGGCTTCGTGCCTGCTGCAGCTCGGGGGAGGGACCGTCCGCGGCTCCTCCGGGAGCTCCTGCTGTCTAGGTAACAGAAGGGCAGTGCCCGAAGCCTCTCACTTTGACTGGAAGCAAAAATGGAAGCATTTGGAGGGTGTTAGAGGGGAAAGGGCCCTTCGGCATGATAAAGGCTGGGAGCAGCAGGGTGTGCTGATAGAACGGGGAAAAGGAACTCGCTGGATTTGCTACAACAGCATCGGGGAGTGGAGGATTTTGTTCATTTCACTAAATAGGGCTTTGAAAAGGTCCACTTGTATGTGTATGTGCCTGTGTGTGTGCTTTATATCAGAAATCCCCATTAGCAGACCCCTTTACCTCCGAGGTATAGGATAAAGCACAGGTACGTGCCTCCCCAAGACAACAGTGGGTCTCCATTTAAAATGAGGCCTTTTCTTACTAGAGTCGGCCACCAATTATACAGTAATTATACAGCAGAGAATCAGGAGAAAACTGGAGTGATCTGGGGGGTCCCCCCAAAAGAACAAATATCTTGATGCCTTTAATTATGGGTTTAAAAATAAAGGATAACTGTAACAGTTCCCATACCATCATAACAACTTCGGTAGCTTAGAGAGTTGATCTGAATTTATCCTCATCTTTATCCTGGAAACTGAAACGTATCTTAAAGAGCTGTGGTAGCTCATCCCTTCCTTTTTTAGGTTGATGAATTTGACTAATTTGTACTTAGCTTAGTAATTTGTCTCTGGTTCATCACCTGTAGACAAATGGCATAATTGTAGCTCAGATGCCAGATAATGTGAGACCTTTTCTGACTTACGGTGGAAAACATGAAAACTGCATAGAGTGCCAGCACCCACATTCCCAGCTAAAGCAAAGAGGCAAATCGCTAAACATCTGGGAAGAGAGGCTAGACGAAGGGGGATATAGAAAAAGGAAATTTTTTCCAAAAGTATTATATAACTACATTCGCATAAATATTTTGGTCACCAAACATATCTTAAACAGATTCCCTGATAAAGTCTAATCAGAATTGGTCTGTGCTACAACACGTTAACTATTTTAATTTTTAAAGAGTCACGCCAGGAAGCTAGGGTGTTGGGAGACACTTAAAACACATAACCCTAAGTGCATATAGTTGTTCAGACACTCAAACTAAATCTACATTTGAAGTCCTGAAAAATCACACTCTTTTTGCTCCTAAAGGCAGCCTTGACCCATCCGGACAGACTGTACAACAGAACTTAATTTATAAATGCCTAAGTTCATCATACAAATTGAAAATTCACAGAACACACAAAAATCATGAAGACCACACAGTTAAGCTAGCATCGGTAACTACTTCTTTTACATCAAATTATACAATGCACGAGGTAAATATTGCTCACATTATGGAGGGAGATTGTTTTATTTCTATTTTTTCCCAAAGAGATCAGATTTGTCCTGTGTGTACAATGAAGAAAACTCCAGTAACACTGAAATGACAAATGTCGTAAAATATACATCACTACCAGATAGAAATACACATGTTCTTCATAATCATTTTCCACAATTAAATAGGTAAGTGATTTCTATTTGGGGCTTAAGACCGTTACAACAATCCATCAAGATTCTTATGGACCGTTTGGTTTTCTTTTCCGTTGTCGGACTCTCCTTGAGGCGTGTACTGGACCTGGTACTCCTGGAGGATTTTAAATACATCGTGGTGTCCGAAGTGCAGCGCTTCATCCATGGGTGTGTTATTCCACCTGCATAAGTAGCACAACACGGACGGGGCGTTAGATCGTCCCCACACAGAGATGAAAACCGTTCTGAGATGCTAAATCTAGCAGGCTTAAGGGCCATTCAGATTTCGCATTTTATCACTGTTTACACGGAAGGTACAGAAGGGGATTCATAATTCAAAAAGAGGTCTTACAGGCCACTTGAGATACAGGTAGGAAGGGAAAACAAGCAGTCGTTAGAAATGGATCTTGCAAAAAAAAAAAAATGGATCTTGCTCACATATCTAAGTGCGTATGGAGGGGAGGTTCTAGTGTGGACAGATACCATGGACTCCTCTGGGATTCCTGAATTTTAATTTCATGAAAAGCCCGCAGGATCGCTCCTTAAATAAAATATTCAAGGAAAAGTCAGGTATATAACACCCATCACCCTATCCTTTGATCAAAAATTTGTGTTCCTGTCAATTCAAAAATTCCAACCAATCTCAGAAGTCTGGGAATAACCGTGACCTCATTAAGGCCCAGACACACACCGGAGGAGCGGCCTCAGCCCCAGAGGGCTTGACACGGTCCTCATCTCTGGTAAGGATGGGAACCCAGGGACTCAAATGGACCACTGCACCCCCAGAACAATAGCAACGCTTTCCACGGTGTGTTTCTGGGGTGTGCTCCTCAGTGACGGGTGAAGACTGCAGCGACTAACCATCTCAACAGCCCTTGGAGAGAAGAGAGAATACCGTGAACTCAACGCAGGTAGAGGAGAGAGTGAGAATCGGTTCCCTAACACTCGACACAGCTACTGAGCCTCTCTCCCTCTCTCGCCACTGGACTTCTCCATGGCTGCCAGGCGCCCAGACTCCCACTTTTCAGTGTGCTACTCCCCCAGCCCTCTGGGTTTCCTTCTTGCCATTTCTTCTTTCCCGTTCTGCCTTCAACGGGAAACCTTTTACCTCCTTAATGGGATCACAGCAGGGAATTAAGGTTTTTTTGGAAAAGTCTCAGAAAATGTTTCTGGATAAAATTTGGTAATCTTCATTTTAAAAATCAGGTAAGTCATATTTTACATGCATCTTCGCGTTTCTCCAATAACAGCTCCTTTTCCACACTGGCCTTCATTAATTTGGGGAGTCGGTGGCCTTAAGCGGGGGCAGGGGGCTATTCAGGCATCTACAGCATATAAGGAACTTTCTGGAACAAGCGCGTGTTAACGGCAAGTTACCTTTCTGACAACTCTTCCTCCATGAAATAATACAAACCGTCCAAAGAATACATTCACTCCAGCCTACTTTACAGTGGAGGGAACACTGACTCTGTGAAATGGGGAAAGGAGTTGTCTCGGTTTAGCTTGTATTCTAGAGTAGCTGAATATCCAGTGACCAAATTACCTAGTTTACTCCTGCCTGTCAGGTGGGCGCATCTACTTCCACAATCCTAGAGGCCAATGTAGGGCAAAAACCAAAACATTTCAATCTTTAGATAAAAAGGATAAAATATAAAGCACAGTAACTGCTTCCAGTGTGTGAGTGTTTTAGCTGGCATTAGACGCATAGGGCACGAGGACGGGTGGGGGAAACACTCTCTCCTCGGTGTCTTCCTCTAGAAAGAGCTGGTATGAACGTTACCCTTGGGGATAAAAGGGAAGATTGTCTCCCCTAACATGAGGTTTCAGAATTTTGCAAGTAAAGGTCATGATGAGATAAAGTGTCACCATCCTTACACCGCTACTAACAATTTCCAGACATCATAACTTTTCTGCATTTCTTGCAAGCAGCTGGAATTAATAAAACCCAAACTTCTAATTTAAAAAACAGTGAAACAAAGATCTAATGGCTAGAAAACAACTTGCCCCAAACTTACTGATATAGTCCTCAAATACCCAATCCAAAACTCCTAGTGAAACTTATCAAAGCTCTCTATGAAGTATTTTTTCCTTCAATTCTTAACCTTTATTCTCACTACTGACTCATCCAGTTCCATAACTCCGGTCACACGATGCGCAAGTCTATGGGCCCGGAGTTGACTTCACGTATCTGCATGTGTGACAGCGGCACTCGCGCCTCCAGGCACCATCCTCTCCGGGGACAGCATTTCCTTCCAGATGAAAGGCGGTTTGCCACGTGCCCCGGGAGAGAGCGGAGAGGAGCAAAGTGTACCCCGGGCAGGTTTCTCCCACTGCAGACAGGGCACCCTTCTCCGTTCCGTGCCTTCAAATCTCATCTCTTCCCCAAAGCACAGATTAAAATTCAACCGCACAGAGCCTTCTAACACACCAACCAAATCTAGGAATTTCAAGAAAGTCTAATATATTCATTGTAGCGTTCTAGGACAGTGACTTTCTTATACATTCTTAATATGCTCCTATAAATGTTTATCTTGTCTACCTGATGAAGTTAAAAGCCCCACAAGGACAGAATTCCTATTTTTTTCTTTTCCAATACAAACCACTGTTTTCCTCCTACAGTGTATTGACTGACAGAGTAACCTGAAAAATTCTGAATAAGACCATCCCTAGATGAGACAGGATATGGGAGAGAGAATGATGAACCTAGAAGAAAGGAGGTTTTGTCACCTTTGTAAGGCACCACAGCAAGCTGAAGAGCGTCTCCAGTATACAGTGCATTTAAATATACCGTCAGCTCAAACGGCCTGGCCCTGTGTAACGCAACGCTGACTTGCCAGCTACGTGGGAGAAGGAAACAGAAGTGCTCACCTGTCCTTGGGGAAAGGGTTGACTTTGCACGCTTCCAGCAAAAATTTAACAACTTCAACATGACCTGTATCCAAAACAAAACAGGCAGATTTTAGTATTAAGTTACATCTGGGAAAAGAAAAAAGGAAAAGAACGGTTCATATGTTACCCTCGGCGGCGGCTACATGGAGGGCTGTTCTGGAGTCATAGTCTCGCTGCTCCATGTCCATGGCTGACAGAGCAAATCTGAAAACACGTGAGAAGAGCCATTCGTGATCTACGTGATAGAATTCATACTTGTCACATTTACCCCACCAATCTAAGGTCTTGGAAGACAAGTAAGTGCCATCCTTCATGAGGCTCACTGATGTTCAACCACTACACAGGCCTCTTTGGGTAAATGCCACCTCCCCTCTTTTCCTTAGCTTTGTTCTTTTTGGGTAAAAGGAAATCTTCACCAGCTGTCCCAGAATTCAGCTTCATTACGTTAAATGTTCAAAACTCAAGAATAGGAGCATACTCAGGTTTGCACCTCAGAAGGGCGAGAAACTAATACCTATTACTAAAGTTAAATGTTTTTACTGAGGCCCCCCTTCTGTAAAATAACATTTTATAGGGTATAGTGTACAAGTATTAATCAGGGAACTTTAAAAAGAACTTTTAAAGTGCACATTGTTTTATTGAGATAAAATTACATAGAACATTATGGAAGTTTAAGGGGGAAAACATGTTGGATTTGATACATTTATATACTGCAATATGATTACCACAGTAGCAGTAGCTAACTCTTCTATCACATCAGCAATTACTTTTTTCTGGTGAGAACAATTAAGATCTGGTCTCCAAGCAACTTTGAAGTTGATAATGTAATACTGTCGGCATAAATACTAATCAGACTTTAAGACAAAGGTAGGAATTAAGCATAGATACTTTTCCATGTTACAATTCAGTTGCTACTCCATACAAGAAGTCGTAGGTTTAGTGTGCAGCACTCCACAACCCTTCTCGACCCGGTGATCTACCGAACACTAAATGCCCCTCTTTTCACTCCCCCTTCACCTCCAAATGTGGGAAGGGGAGAGGAGATGGGGCCGGAGAAAACATTATTCGACTCCAATAAAACGCTAATGAGCCAGATTAGCTGAACAGGTACACTTGGGTGGACAGAGGTCTAGGCTTCTTGGGAGGTAGAAAAGGACAAAACTACACAGGAAGCCTGAGGAAGTGGGATTTAGTGTAAGTTTGGGTCATTTTTATTGGAAATGGAAGTGAGATCTTAGCCTTAAGAAATGGCCACCTGCCCCAAAGCAACTTCACAAACTCCTGTAAACCATACACTGAGCCACACGCCACCCCATGAACACACCTCCGGAGCGCAGACACATCTCCAGTGTAGGCGGCAAACAGGAGGTTTATCACGGACTTCACCTGTGAAGAGAAGAGAGTTCAGGCATCCGAGGGGGAAGTAAGTAGAGAGACTGTGGGGCTGTCACCAGCAGTGATCTCCGTGTGCTCTGAACTCTCAGCTGGGTCACACGCACAGTTACCCCAAGTGCACTTCTATCACCAAAAAGGACACACGTGTATTTTTTTTTTTAATAGAGGGTTAGGAGAGAAAATTCATCAGTAAAGATAAGCTACACGAAAAGAGGGAGTGGAATAATATTGGCATGAAAGTGGAAATTTGGGACCTGGGAAACACACATAGTTGGGGCAAGTGAAAATTGTTTAGAACCTTTCTAATTTAGTCAGTCTCAGTACCATGAGTGGACTTCTTATACTCACAAAATTCACATCACATCTTTGTTAAAAAACTAAATCATGCTGCATAACTGTCTAATCCCTGCCAACAATCACTGTCCTCACCAATCACTGGCTTCTCTGGAAATCCTAGGAGACAACGTTCAGTATTAATCACCTTAAACTTAAGGACTCTATCTCCCTGGAAAGACAGTCTTCGGGTCGATGCCCAAGTGGTCTAAAGTAGGGCATCCCAGTGGCCACTGCCTCTGCTTAAAAGGAGGGTGAACCCAGATTTTAAGTCACTGCTAATGAGTGCTCCAAGACTTCAAAGTGTATCTTCCTCTGACAGCTGCCCACTTGCTTGTCTTTACAATTAAGGAAAAGGCTAGTTACCCTAAAAGGTCATTAGATTTCGGCCTTCCTTCAGAGACTTTATCCAACCCTGGTCTCGAGAAACCGCTGAACACAATGTAAATACTACAGAAATTCCCACTTTCATCTTTTGCAACTTCCATATTCATACTGATGCCCCTACTGGCAGTGGACTCAATGGTTGAAAACAGGAGTTGAATTGGAGGGATGGAAAGTAACACAGCTACCCACCAACAAAGCCACGGGCCTGGGACATGCGCTTCCAAGAGCTTAACCGGGACCCTTCCCCTTTCCACAATGGCTTCCCTCTCCCCGTGGCTTTCCTTTTAAATCAAACTGGAACTCGCCATGGTTGGATTTCTCTGGGTCAGCATTTTCACAATATGTTCTGTAGAGACTGCACACATGCTCCGGGAAAAAAGGGTCCTATAGGCAGGTATTTTCTTAAAATATTAAATGCCCTTCATGGAGATTTGTGGGCATATGAAGGGCTCTGTAAAGTTCTGCAGTACAAGAACCTGTCTAAGGAGCTGAACACACTCCCCAGATTTTACCAGTACTGTAGACATTACTCCAGAAAACCTCACCCTTACTCCTGTGGTCTCCCAGCTTCCCTTCCAAGCCGCCTGCTCCTGCCCGGCCTGTGCTCTGCGGTCAGTCTCCTGCTAACCCTGAATCTGGAACCGTATTCTCATGGAGGTGGAGGGAAAAGCTTCGTGGAATCACAGAGAATGTTCTGAGAGGATATAGTAGCATCTCTCTTCCCATTTCTAACTATCCTAGTCCCACACCTCATTTGATACATTTTAGGAAAAACAGCCTTTTGAAAAAATGTCTTCAGGTGATTTTGATAGGCACTCTTCTTGGTTAGAAACCACTGTTCCAAGTGCCCTTAACTTTTTTCTTTTAATTGGATCCAATTGGAATCTCCAATTCCCCTTGCGGTCTTGGGCCCACGGGAAAACACTGGTGAGCTATTACAAATTCTTCTTCAAATTTCCAGCTGGTCTCTCATCAGTGCTTGACAATTTTTTTTTTCCTGATTGATTCCCTTTCGCTCTGTCTTCAGGCCTTTTAATACCTGTGGCGTCCCCTAAAGCAGATGACCCTGACCACAGCTGTACTTCGATAGCTCTTCTCGCTTCTCCCTTCTCTATTATACAAAACATCTGCTTCCAATACCTATTCTCCCTTTTTTCTCTCCAAACCTCAAAGCAAAACACATCTATCCTTTTTCACTTCTGAGACTAACTTCTTTACCTATTCCTTAAAATACATATCCTCCCGGTCACCTAAACCTGCCCCTCATGTACCCTTCTTGTTTGCACACCTCCGACCTTTCCCTCCCTCGCTGGTACCCTGATTTCTGCCTTAATATGGACATCACCTCAACCTGTTTTGAAAAATCAACCTATAACCCTACTGCTGCCCCATCCTGGTGCATATTTTCTGAAAGCGGCTTGTATTTTTAATTCCCTGCAAATCGCCGCCTCATCCACGATCACCTCCACTGCCCCGAGCGCCCGCGGCCTTCCCGGGCCTGCTTCTCGGGGACCCCCCGCCACGCCTGCCCTTTTACTCCTTGTCTTTGGAGGGGCCGAGGCCTCGGCTCGTCCTCCGGCTGCGCAGAGCCCCCTCCCGCGGCCGCCGCCCGAGAAGACAGGGAAGGCAGCCCCCGTCCCTCTGCTGTGCTGGTCCTCAAAGGTCTCCCATTCCTTCCGCCCAAATGGCGCCCCAGTCTACATCTTTCGTCGAAGTCTTTGCTCCTTCGGCGGAACTGAACCGCTCGCTTGCCTGTCACGCTGCCACTTCAAACTCAAAAGCGGCAGCCCCTCCGGCTGTGACGGGCTGCGGTGGCTCCGCCACGCCTGTCCCCGTCTGCCCGCTCGACGGCGCCTCCAGGACGCTCCACGGGCTTCTCAGACTCGCACGAGACCGAACTTGACTCCCGCCTCCCAGCGCGCGACTCCCCCTCGGGGCTCGCTGGCTTGGGGCGGACGCTGCGGGGCTCCCAGCTGCTGCGGCCACAGCGAGTGTCCCGGCGAGTGTCACCCAGCGCGGCGGCAGGAGCCGCGCCCGCTGAGCCCCCCGCCCAAGGATGCGCGGCCAAGTCGGGGTGAGCGGCCACGTCCCCCGCGCCCCGCTGCGGCGGCTCCCCGCTGCGGCGGCCGGCGCCCAAGGACACCCGGCGGGAGGAAGGGAGCCCCCGCCGCGCGAACGCGCCCGGAGGGTCTGCTCGGGCCAGGCAGGACCAGCTTCTTCCTAATTCGCACAAACCCACTGTATCGACCTCCTGATACTCCCTGATTCCGCTTGTCACTACCCACGTCTCACCCGTCCGCACGCTTGCTCGCCCCCAAACGCTGTCTGGAACCCACCGCTTGTCACCGCCTCCAGTAACTCCATCCTAGGCTCCCTCGCCTCACCCGACGACGGCCATCGCCTCCCAACGGGCCACTCCTCTCCTCCTTGCTCCCACGGGGATCTGAAAACACAGGCCACAGCGCTGCCAGCGGCCTCCCTCACCCTGGAACAAGATTCAGACCCTTTGCCACGGCCTTCAGCACGCTAAGGGCCCCACTGCCCGGCCACACTGCGCGCCGGCCCGACCGCTCCGCCCTGGCGGTCTCCGCCAGCCCGTGGGCTCCTTGGCGCCCGCGGGCCTCGCTGCGCTGCGGGACGGGCCGCCGGAGAGGGAAGCGCCCGCCCTCGTCCTGCAGGTCTCTACTCAACGTCACCTCACAGGTTCTGAAACACTGACCTCTTCGGCATCATGCCTTACCCCGACCTCGCTTTTTCTCTTCAGAGCACTCATCATCTGACGTCACATGTATTTCACACTACAGATCTGATTTTCTATAAATACATATTTAAATTTGTTTCTTATCTCTTTCCCCCATTAAATGTAAGCTCCATGTGAGGCAGACCTTGTGTTCACCCCACTGTAACCCCAGGGCCTACGCACGTAACGGGTGCTCATTCAGTGCACAGGGACACCAGACAACACATTGTACACCACAGGCGCAGTGTCTACGCCAGTTAAACCACAACTGAAAGAATGTGTTTACTGGCTAAATCAATATTCTCTCCCAAAGCATCAAATGTCCACATTGTTACCACCACCACTTGGGGGACTAAACTGTAATCATTACTAATTCTTCTACCTCTTTTAACTTTTACTTTAAATACCACCAAATTTGTTCAATCCGAACTGCTGCCTCTGCTTCTGGTCCTTCCACCCACCAGCACCCTCCCGTCGATCTCTCCTCATCTTCCCCAAACATTGCTCTGGTCTTTAAAGGCTTCTCGGCATGGGAGTGCCAAAAAAGTCCCCAAATCATTTTTGATAAAATCTGAATTCTTTAGCCTTGCATTCACGATTCCTCACTCTGGCTAACTCACTGTTTTCTTCTTAACCTCAACAGAACAAACCTGGTCTTACCTACCGCTCTTGTTTCTACCTTTGTGTCTTTGCTCCTTTTTCTCCTTTTGGGAACCTCCAGAGCCAAACCCCTCCGTTCCTTCAAAACGGAAAACCTCGGAGACCCCTTCTTTGCTACCACACTGCCTCGGGCATCTCATCCAGCCTCCACTCTCCATGTGACCTGTTGCCCGTTGCCTGCACAGTGTTTTGTGACAGCATGTGCCAAGGGGTCATCAGTCAGACCCGGTATCTCCCACTACAACCCTGAATGTAACTTCTGCTCCTACGAAGCCACGGCACACACTTTTGACTGCCTGAAAGCCTCTTTTCTCCACCCATTTCTCACTGCAGTGTGATCTGCAGCCCCTCTCCACGAGCTCTACTCCGATCTCTTCGATCAGAAGTCATCTTTCTCCGACACTTCCCTCCCCACGGCACTACCGCATATGGGAGATTTACTTACGTGTCTTACTTATCTCCTCTACCACCCAAGAGAGATCCAGAGTTCCAACGTGGATCCCACTAATACATTAACTACCCGTAGTTCTTATTCTTTAAAGTATATTAGTCCTTCTGAGCCATAAATCCTTGATGATTTCCAGTGACTGCTTGCAAGAACTACATCCCCTTTATAAAATTCTGAATTCAGACCAAGCTAGTCTGAAGAGAGTTTTTATCCATTGTATGTGTCACTTAATTATTCAGTATTTCCAAAGTTCTAAAACTACATATTAAATAAGGCCTAAGCATGGCTGGTTTTAGAATACAATCACTTCACTGAGAGTGTAACACTCTACTCACAAGCGTGTTTCAGCTCAGAGAGAAACACAAAACGAGGAAAAAAATCAGGAGACTGTAATGTACAAAGGCTCTGTGATTTATCGGGGGA